AAAACCACCCAGACTGAGGGTCATTTATGTAGTATTAGAGCTGACCCTGACACCATAAGATCCACAATGCCACCTTGTCCCCTCCCCAACAAGACTCACTTCCAGAGCAATGCAGTATTCCAGGTGGAATCACAGAGATTTATCACCTCCCTCAACTGGGACCGCCACCTTAATGGTAGTATTCTTACATTTTCCACCTGTCCCTTGTGCTATTCTTGTCATCATTTACTTCCACATGTTATAAACCCCACAGTATGTTACTAGTTTTGCCGCCTCAATGATTTCTAGACATCAAAAAATGAGAAAATATAGGATCTTTTCAATTATCCATGTATTTATGATGTCAGTGGTCTCCATTCCTTTGTGTAGATCCAAATTTCTATCTAGTGTCCTTTTTCTTCTGACCAAAGAGCTGCTTTTAACACTTCTCAGAGTGTAGGCGCTGCGCGGTGATCAGCCTGACTTTTGTGTGAAAAAGTCTTTATCTTTTCTTGCATGGAAAGTTTTGAAAACTTTCTTTTCTTTTCTTTTCTTTTCTTTTCTTTTGTGCTAGAGATGAGGGCCTCACTATTTATATTGCCCAGGCTAGTTTCAAACTCCTGGCCTCAGACAATTCCTCCTGCCTGGCCTCCCAAGAGTGCTGGGGGTGATTACAGACATGAGCCACCTACACTTGGCCTTCACTGCTTTTAACTGCTTTTAATCACCATAGCTGCAACAGTTGACTTTTTCATCTCTTGAGAATTACTTCCGTTTTTTGTTTTATTTTGAGACAAGGTCTTCACCGTGTTGCACCAGGCTGGGAGTACAGTGGTGCAATCAGCTTTATGTAAACCTCGACCTCCTGTGTTCAGGTGATCCTCCTGCCTCGCGCGAAAAAGATAGAAAGCCGAGCGTAAGTGAAGCAGATAGAGATAGGTCTCCTTACATGCCATAGGCTGTGTCTTGAACTCCTGGGCTCCAAGGACCTTACAACGCTGCCCAAACGACAGTTGAGCTCCACACGCAGCCCGGGTGAGTCAATATATTCCATTTCTCTCTTGGCTCATTCCCCCCCCCCCCCCCCCCCCCCTTCATGTTCAGATTTGAGCGACAAAAGAAATATATTTTTTAACATCCGAAGGACAGAACGAACTGCGCATTGAACCTATGGCTCGTAGTGCTTTTTGTTTTTTTTTTTTGTAATAGTCTTACTCTGTCACCCAGGCTGGAGTGCAGGTGGTGTGCAGTCTCACCTCGCTGCAATCGTGCTGGTCTCCTTGGGTTCAAGTGATTCTCATGGCGCACCCAAAGAGACGCGGCGGAGGGTACCACCACTCCCAGCTAATTTTTGTGATGTTAGTAGGAGACAGGATTTAGCCATGTTTGGCAGGCTGGCTTCTGAACTGCCTGGCCTCAGGGCATTGCCACCCCTCGAACCTCTAAAGTGCTGGGATTACAGGCATGAGCCACTGTGCCTGCGCCAGTTGCCTGGTCGATTTTTTATTGACTGGTAGGACATTGTGTTTTTGTGGTTGTGATTGTTGGATTCGTTGTTTTCTTTAAATAGTGTGGGACTCTGTTCCAGCACTAGTTACTTGAAATAAGTTGGGATCTATCAAGAGTTTGCTTTCAATCTTTGTTCGGGACCAGTTTCAGAGAGCCTTTACTCCAGTGTTCATGTAGCCCCAGCTATGTTGAGAGGAATACTTTTCTAACAGCTTCCCTTCCATTTCCTAAGTGTTATGAGGGTGTTTTCATCTCCGTGGACGCAGTGAAATATGGAATCCTTTTCATCAGTTACTGTTACTCTTATCAATGACCCCAGATCCTTCTGGAGAATAATTAATGAATACCATGTGATAATATTGCAGGATTTTTTCCACGAATACCCAGCCTCCCCTACAATCCATGAGCTGTAGGTCTCAATTGTCTCAGTCTGAAAACTGGCTAGGAAATTGCGATTTTGTGTTGCAGCCTTCTGCGGGCCAGATCTCATTGTTGTTGTTTCCTGCCACCACGTGGCATCTGCTGTTCTCGCCTTCCACCATTCCCACTGACACCATGAAGCCTGGTCTCAGGGCAGCATCTCCTCTTGTCGATCCTGGCCTACAAAGGATAGTGCCACTGAGTCTCTGAAAGATTCAGGTGCCCTTCTCACTAGTGCCTTCCTTGTTAGCCTAGAGAGGGGAGTTCCTGTCAGGCCTCCAAGGGCACATACGCAAGTGGTGGATTCTGAATCTGCTGGCATATAACGAACCATTCCAACATTCCTACCTCCCTGTACTTTCCCGCTTCTCTGATGCTTTGCCAATGCAGTTCTATAATCTACACCTAATTCACTACAGCAACTGTTCCATCCACATTTCAAGGAGCCACTCCAGCAGTGTGTTAGAGCCCGAGGTGTCCTTGCCAAGTCATTAAATCCTGAGAGTGCTCCCAGGTCAGTGTATTCTCGTGTATACAGCCTTTAGTCTCCCACCCATGTGGGACAGCCTAGAGTAAAGATCCTGAAAGTAACAGAACAGCAATTGATCAAGTGAACCCAAGATATGACTAAAACTATCTCTGATGGCAAAGCCTTTGATGACAAGAGTCTGGCTCATAGAAAGATAGCCCCGAGCATGGCACCTCTGACCAAATCCCTCGCTCTGACCTACTGAGCATATGTGCCCAGCCTTGCTCACAGTTGGGGTTGGAGGAACACCTCATGGAGTCCACGCGATAACTGCACTTCCTGGTTGCCTGTCACTGCTGATTCCATCCACACCATCCTCTGCCCCAGCCAGCCCATCCCTGCCATGCCCTGCCATTGCAGTCAGGCCTCTTTGGGGGTGAGTGACAGAAAATTCACTTGAGTTGGCTTAGGCAAGAGGGGAAGCTCATTGGTCAGTAAGTTAGCCACGGGCAGAACAGGGAACAGTTGGGTCTCAGGAATACCTGGACTCAGAGTCACCAGCACTGTTAGGATTTGCAGGCTCCCTCCCTTGTGTCCGTCTCCACCTCAGTCTGCAGATCAGTTTTGTGATCTCAGAGCAACTTTCCCCACAAGGTTGGAGTCAGACTGCTGGCAGTACGAGGCTTCCATCATCCTGGTTTTGACCCCAAGAAAGGACGGGACTCCCCTCCATTAGTTCCGATTCAGAAAATTCCAGAAAAAAGTTTCTGCTTGGTCTGGTCTGGGTTGGCTGGGTAGCTGGGACACAAACTGCCAAGCCCTCCAGTGTCATGTGTTTGAAGTAGGGTGGGGAGATGTATTAGTTCAGTGTGCCATGCCAAAATACCACACACTGGGTGGCTTAAACCACAAACATTTATTTCTCGCAGTTCTGGAGCTGCGTGGGAATCCAAGAAAACAAACTACCAGCAAGGTAGGTTTCATTCTGAGGGCCTCTTCTCTTGTCCTGTAGGTGGGCTGCCATATTGTGTGCTCACGGACCTTCTCTTTTGTATTTGTGCAGAGAGAGTGAGTGAGGGCACTCTCTGATGTCTCGACTTATAAGGACACTAATTCTACGGAATCAGAGCCCCAACCCTTAGACCTCATTTAACCTTAATGATTCTTAGAGGCCTCATCTCCAAAATACAGCCATGCAGAGGGTTAGGGGCTTAAACACATGAATTTGGAGGAAGACAGAGAGCTTTCAGTCCCCGTGATGGGGAAGAAAAACTATTCATGAGAAAAAAGGGGTGCAGTGGCGCAGAAAAAGGGGCAGACAAAATGTTCTCTCCCCAATTTTCCCAATACTGCATCACACAGCACACCACGCACACACACACACACACACCAGCCCTAACCTTTGCCCCCGTTCCCCACAAAGGCGCACTCCCACCATCGCCATGATACTTAATCTACCTCCCTATCCTGCT